AGTAAGCCTTTCTAAATAAATCTACAAAGTTAGACAAAGAGGAAAGGATCAGCACGAAAATTCTCAACCTAGTTCTAACTACCAAGTCTGTGTACCTTGGGGACATTAATTATTCTTTCTTTCTCAGTTTCAAATTAGAAAAAAATTAAAAATGAGATTATAGAAGAACTGGGAGAAACAACTGCTTAAAATACAACAGGAAAAGAGGTTCCTCACTGCTGGTTCAGTATAATTACTAAATAGACTTAAATGTAATAATCCAGCAAAGTTTTTATCTCTCTGTCACAAAATGACACAATGTCTACTAGCAAAGGTGAGAAAGTCTTCTGTTCTCTAGGAAGACTCCCACTGAGGCAACATTTTTCTCTTTGCACTAAATGGGTAAGAAGCAAGGCAAGGAGGAGGCTGAGAATTTAAAACACTGAACGTGCTTCCTTTTCCCTACTGCTGACTGCAGGCATTTTGGGATGTACAGAGTTGAAAGCTACCAAAGACAGCCTGAATGCTCAGGGCTAGTTACACAACCACACAGTACAGGAAAGCATTTCTAATGGCCCCAGTGGCCAGTACAAAACTGCCAAAGATGAGCAACAAAAGATGCCTGCCTTTCCTCTTACAAGCTCAAATGTGGTTCTGCAATGTGGAAATGGGTTTCTGACCAAGCACATTCAGTGCAATATGGGGACCAAATACTGTCCACCATGGTGGGAGCCAGGTCACAGCAACGAGGAGGCAAGCTATTATCTATCCACCAGGCACCCATCCTTGAGGAGGGAATAATGACATGCTGCCTTAATGAGCAAAACTGTGAATAATTAGCTCAAGTACAAAAAGAAGCATAAAAATTCCATCAGTTTCCTTTAAGACCACTTCCTGTGTGAAGCAATAAAAATGTAATTTTGATATCAGTTTTTAATGCCCCTTTGTGTGTAACAGTGATGAATGAACACTGAGAAGACTGCTTGTGCATCAAAACAGCAGAGAAGCATTATGCACACCTGAGAGAGACTCAATTTTTGCTCACCTGAAAGCGCTCCAGGTACTGGGGAAGCTTGGACTCTTCTGGTTCCTCTATGTCTAGTTGCTCCACCACATTGTCTGAGACCAGGTTATCTCCACCTTCTGTGGGAGCTTTCTCTGAAGCCCCCTCAGTTGGAGAAGTCAGTGTCTTCAGCACACTGTCCAGCACATCGAGCTGTGGAGAGAAAGAGTCAGGAATTACACATGGCGTGGTCTTGACAGCATACAGTATTGTGAAGAGAGGCTGGAAAGGTGAGGACAAGGGAAAAAGGGCCCTAAAGAATTATGAGTAGTTTTCTCCTGTAATAAAATTGCAAGAAATAGCTGGGGAGGTAGTTCAGTGGCACAGTGCTTGCCTAGCTTTCATGAGACCCTGGATTTGATCCCCAGAACCACTAAAAAAAAAGTTAGGAAACATAAATTATGACATTTTCCACACATCAGAACGTCCCCCTCACATGATATGGAAAGCACAGAGCAAAGCAAGTGATGTAAAGGGAGAACCCTCTCACAGTGAGGGGTTATTTGTGTGCATGAAATCAACATAGGGAATTCAAGTTTGCTTTTAATTAGCTAGGTAGGAACCCAAGAATTATGCTTGATAAGTGATCAAGAACCTCCTTGTCCATGTCTTCCTTGGAGTCAATTTGAGATTGGGACAAAGGGAAAGAAAGACCATTGTAGACCACAGCCAGGCCAAATGTACATTAAAGCTTCTGGATACAGGAGAGGGCCTCCCTCAGAGAAAGATTTGAGCTCACAGTGTATCTAAAATTATCAGCCTAATCCACATAAGCTGCAGGCAAAGGTCAGCAATACACACATGAAATTCACTTTAATGAGGTGATTTCTGTGACTTAAATACTAAGTAAATTAAAAAACAGAGTTTCCTTTTGTTTTATCCCTCTTCCCCTCTGCTACTTTGGGCACACCTCCATAAGGCCAGGAAGGGCCAAGTCATCAGAGCAGAGACAAACAACGTAAGACCAGCATAAACACCTGCTTGGATATCAACTAGTTCTGTCCATGTCATATCACAGCAAACATCCAAAAAGTACACCAAGGCCTTTTACTACTCACATGACAGCTAACCTGGGTATGTATCACATCCTCACTGACATGTGAATAACATCCCCATAGATTAGAAAATACTAATTTAGAAAGAATATTTCCTTAGCAAAGAATTTATGTATGATTTTTGTCTTCAATCACCAGCACTGATTATAGCAGGCTTAAAACATATTTAGAAATGTGCATGTTTTGTTATACACATCTGGGAAAGAATGTAACAAAACAGTAGACATTAGTATGAGGTGCCAGTGCCATTTCCTAACTGAAATGAAAAGCAAGGGCCGCCTTAGAGACCAGGGTCCAGATAAAACAACAGCTTCACAGTGACGTTTCTCCCATGTAAGAAGACAGCCACTGTCCTATTCTCACTCTGGCTAGAAAAGATGCTTGGCCAGGCACAGATACTGGCTACCTGCAGGGCATGGGACCTATTGTTTCCCAGAGTCTGAGCTAAGTCTAGTAACTTCATAGCTTCAAGGTCTTAAGTGACTAAGGGAGATGAACTCTGAGGCTCCTGGGAAGACAGTGCTTGAGACCGGGCAAAATGAACACCTGAGAGCTTTGAAAGAAACACCAATTCAGATTTCAGTATCTCATACTCCCCACAGAATGGCTTAATGGAAGGAAAGTAAGCACCACTAGCCTCAGTCCGCAGATTCATTTCTTGAGGGCTTTTATGGGGGAAAAAGTTTCTGTGTAATTTCTCAGGACTGCTTAAGGGTACAGAAACGCCAAAATCTTATCCTCTCTTAAGTTCTCACTGACATATATTTTGGGGTGAGTTAATTTTATTTTCTAGTTCTTTTTTGTCAGTAGGATTGAATATGGGCTTTTTTATTCCTACTCAACTGGGTAAGTACCTATTTTATACAAATATAAAAAGAAGGACAATGAAAACAAATCCAGGCTGGGGATACAGCTCAATGGCACCGTGCCTGCCTGGCAAGTGCAAGGTCCTGAGCCTGATCCCTGATACAGGGGTAAAAAAAGATGGATGACAAAGAAAACAGACTTCCATTTAAAAACACAGAGGGAAAGATAGAATTGCAAAAGTCGATAACATGTTTGAGCATTCTGAAAACAAATCAAAGCTCAACTTATCATGAGGAACAGAGATGGCTGAACCTGGGTAAATGAGGGCTGAGGGACATACCGCTTCTTTACACAGCTTTATGTCCTCTGGGGAGGAGGCTACTTTCTCCATCACTTGAAGGGCTCTGTCAAGGTAGCCTGGTTTCCATATGAGAGGCATGTTGTGGTACACGGCCCAAAGTCCATGCTGCAATTCCACCTTTCCTGTGGCCAGAAAGAACAAAGAAGAATGCTCAGTCATATCTTTCCAGTACATATGAGACAGGATTGAAGGTACCAAGTCTGGCTATTATAGAAACACAGGATCATTTCAAATCTGCACCAAGAGCCTCATCTTCATGTAGTGACCTGGTAACATTTTAGAGAACTGAGGAATTGTGGCAAAATTTAGCCAGGTGTGGTGGTACATGCTTGTAATCCCAGCACTGAGGGAGGCTGAGGCAGAAGGATCACAAGTTTAAACCCAGTCTTGGCAATTTAACAACTAGAGACTGAGACCCTGTTTCAAAATAAAAAACAAAAGCCGGGTGTGGTGGCACACACCTGTAATCACAGCACTGGGAGGCTGAGGCAGGAGGATCACTGTGAGTTCGAGACCATCCTAGACTACATAGAGTGTGCCAGGTCAGTCTCAACTACATAGTGAGACCCTGTCTCAGAAAAATGAAAAACCAAAAAACAAACAACAACAAAATAAAAAATAAAGAGGTCTTGGGAACTGGGCATGGTGGCGCATGCCTGTAATCCCAGCACTTGAGAGGCTGAGGCAGGAAGATTGCTATGAATCGAGACCAACCTGGGCTACATAGTGAGTTCCAGGTCAGTCTCAACTACATAGTGAGACCCTGTCTCAAAAAAAAAAAAAAAAGAAAAAAAAAAGAGGCCTTGGGTTAAAAAAACAACAACAAAAATTACCAAAGTTGCAAAACTCTCTATGTACATTTTATAATACAAATTTGTGTGACTATTTTTCCTTTTTCATTAAGGCTGCCTGAATGATTGGCCTGAGGGAGAAATATCTGACATTTTTTGAAAAACACCAAAACAACCCATCTATGGTCTTTATGAAAAAAGAAATCTCATTTTCATTCTCTTTCCTTTACTTGAGCTTTATCCGTTCTTAAATTTTAAGAGTCTTGATAATTCTTCTGGATCTTAGGATCTTAGTGTTTCCCTTGGTGCCTCAATCCAAATTGGGGCTCCTGTAGAAACAGGGCTGAGTGAATGCTGCAGCAGAAAGTTGCTCTGCACCAAGTCACCTCAGGCTGCCAGGTCTTAAATCCACCTTCACTTTGCCTTCTTGGGAAGGAGGATTTGGGAAAGCTGCAGTAGGACATATCAGGGAACAGCTAAATTTAGACCTTTAAGGTGCTTGGGGCTACACGGCAGTCACTGTGGGCCCCTGCTTCTATCAGGGCTCCCTGAGTGAGGCTGTACAGCGTGTGACACAGTAACAGCAAACAGCTTTTGATCTGTTGGCTGCCAGCCACAAAGGGCTAGGGCCTCTTCTCATAAACAACAGCAAAGTACACTTTCCTAGCCCAAAAGTCTATGCAGTACAGCAGTCCTGAATGCTGATTTTTAATCATCAACTCTTGTTAGTTTAACAGCTACTCTAATACATTCTGAAAAACCTTGTTCTCAGTTAGTTTATATCTATCTGAATCAGAATCTGAGAATGCCACATTACATTTTATAAGCAATAATCAACTTCAAAAGTAGTCAAATTGCTGTAACTTTGGTTTCAAAAAACAAAAAGAAGCAATGAATTATCAAGAGAAGGTGCTTTCCCAGAGGTCTAACTTTGTAAAAGAGAACAAAAGACTAATGAAACAACATGCATTTAATAAGTTTCTGTGAATCAGGACACATTTAACACACATTTAGGTCACATGTTATTTGCCCAGAATGCATTTAACCCAGGGGCCAATGCTGCTTCTCTTGACCTGACTCTCAGTGCCAGCAGGGTGCCACAGGTAAGCCACTGTCCCATTGCACCCTGCAGTCATTCTGGGCCACTGTCTGCTTCTCCCACAGTGCTATTAGTTGTGCTCTCTCCCTCCTCTGAAAATAAAACTGAAGATACAAGTTCAACTTTAACTCTTAATTTTTACCTCCCAGACTTCAGGTCTGAAGAAACAGGAAGACCTGTGCTAGTTCTAAGAAAGACTCTTGTGACTGGATCTCCGTTTTCTACCCATTCCTCATGGCAAATGCGTTAAACATTACAGAGCCACCAGAATCATTTCTTTCCTTGTTGGTGGTGGCTTTGGCTTTTAAGAATGGTCTTAAAACCTGCCTTATGTTATAACTGTGAGGTCTATTTTTAATGTTTAAAAGTGAAGAATGTCATGGAATTTCACTAGTAAGTTTAAATTGAATTGTAATTTTATTAATAAATAAAAGATGGCACTAATGTATCCAGGAGGAAGCACAACATTTATAAGGATCACTTGACTTACCGAGGAGGGCACAGCCATATAATTGGGAACTCACACCCACTGAGTTCTTCTGTTTTAGGCCGGGAAGTAACAGGGATGCACCAAACTTCCTCTCCTCTTCACACTGCAACAGGTATACAGCAGATCACAGTCCAGCTAAGCAATCAGTACTAATGCAAGAATGTGATTTGTAACAACACAGAGGAAATGAACCGGCTATGGCATTAAGTAAAAATATCAAAACAACACAGCTATATAAAATTTCAATCCTAATTTTGTAAATAAAGGTATTTATGTTTAAAGAAAAATACAAAAGAAATATTTTCTATGTTAAATTTCTGGGCAGCAAACTTATGAATAATTTTGGTTTTCTTCTTTGTAGTTTTCATTATTTTCCAAATTTCTGGCAATGAGTAAGAGTTCCTTTTATAATCAGAAAAGCAAAACAAAATTCGCTGGACCTGCATTGACTTGAGACAACCAGTGAAGATTCTACAGTCAGCTGCACATTCCCTCACATTGCTATGGCAGGATGGATAATGCTTTTGAATTCTGAACAATTCACAATGGTCAGATTTTTCTTTTACAATGTTAAAATAAATATCACTGTTAAGTTGCTTTCAAATAGATGTATGCTTCTTAAAAACAAATCAAACAATCAGAAGAGATCATCTCTTTTATCCAGGTGCACAATTACACTTCAATAAAGTTGAAGCCTTCTGAGACATGGGGGATAAGAAGGGCAAAATCATAAGCACTGCTAAGCCTGCTGCATACTTGTATAACGGCAGTGATGATGGGTACCTCCCTGGAAATGCAGGGCCTCAAGGACAGCCTTTGCAACTTCCCAGACAAAGGGAGCTGTGAGCTCTGTGGTGCCACAGGAGTACACACTGGCCAGGGCTATAGCCTTGAGACAAAGACTGAATATTCAGCCTGCCCTATGCTCAGAGGTCAGAGAGAAAGCAGAGAATACACAATGTTTGTATGCTGAAATGGTACGTTAATAGACACCCAAACTTCTTGACTATGAATAGCCTTTGTGCAACCCATGCACCAGTTCCAAGGTTTTCCTTAACCTCTGGGTGTGTGTGTTGCGGGGGAGGACAGATACCCTGGGAGAAAAATAAGATTGTTGGGCAGCACACATAAGTAAAAGGGCTGATAATTAAGGACTAGACTATTGTATATGCAAATACCTCATTATGTATGGGCAAATATTTCAAAACCTGAAAAAAATCTGAAACCTTAAAGGCTTCTGGTCCCAAGCATCTCTAGAAAGAGATACTCAGGTGCTACCTACTTCACCACTATCCTCAAGGTTTTCCCATTTTATGCATAAGCGTCTCCCATTAATACATGGAGCTCTTCCCTCACAGCAGGACATCTCAGAAGAGTTGCCTATACTTGCTGTCTCCTTTCTGTACCTCTAAGTCACTCCTCAATCCACTCTGATTTGGCTTCCTGCTCCACTATTCTATGGAAACAAAGGTTCCAATTTAGGACTTCTATGCTCTAAATTCAATGAATTTTTTATTCCCCACCTTACCTTATTCTCTAAGACATCTCTTTCATGGATTTTGTAGTCTAACACATTCCTGATTTTCCTTTTTACTAATTTTAATTTTTTTTTTTTTTTGGTACCAGAGATTGAACTCAGGACCTTGTGCTTACCAGGCAGGCGGAGGAACCACTGAGCTAAATTCTCAGCCCTACTAATTTTAATTGATGTATGATATTTGTACATATTTATGAAGTACAGTAAAATAATTTGATACTTGTATACAATGTTGATTTTTGTTTTTGCTCTCTAGCTCTTTTGCAGACATTTACACAAGCATGTATAAATTAATTTCCAAAGTTGTATCTTCAGCTCCTATCTTTCCATTAATTACCCAATATCCATCATGAAATTTCTTCACTCAAAAGCAACTCACAATGCAATGTCATCTTGTAATTTACCTCCAAAATATGGCCGGCAGGTACTCTGACTCCAGTACACCCTGGTTGCCAGTCCACAATTATCTCTCACTCAGACTATGAAAGAATCTCTAAACTGGTCTGACCATAAAAGCCATCCCTGCCATGAAAACATTGAAAACATTTAAAACACCAAGAACACAGCCTGATGTAAAGTAAGTGACATGTAAACTCAGTCATTATTGTTATTACTGTTGTCATTCTTAGGATAACAATAAACAATGACTAAACATCCTAATTTAACAGCTGGAACCAAAACTTGGCATTTTGTACTTCTACAACACAAGTGGTCTAGAGTAACCTTACACAAAAAAAACAAATGAAATAACCAGTATTAAATACCCTAGGTTGTGATCAAAGTTAGCTGCCCAGTTGTTGCTTTGATATGGCATGCACATCCAGTTCTCAATGATTATTAATGACCTATTTCTGGATGTCTGAAATGACTCCAGCTAGCTCAAGTTTCAGAATGGGCACAAAGAGCCGGGGTTTAGCTCAGTGGTACAGTGCTTGCCAAGCATGAAAAGGCCCTGGGTACCATCTCCAGTATGGCAAAACAAATCAAACACTGCCCCCACAAAAACCAAAAAAACTAAACCAAACAAACAAACGAAAAACAAACCCAGAATGTGCACAAGGATTTGACTTCTGAGTTTGTCAGGCAGAACACCCACTTTGTTGGAAATCAGTAACTGAAATGTACAGAATGAACACTCCTTCCTGAGTATGCGTGGCCACAGAGCCACACATTCCAGATTCTGAGAGCTAGCCACCCCCTCCATATCTCCTTCCTAAAGGAGTAGCCACTGATTGCTCTTTCCCAAAACTCTCAGTATTGCTTCAGGGCAGATTACTTACACTTAAGTCGGTCTTCCCTGCCAGGCAATGGTACAAAACATAGAGAGAAAGAAGCTGGGTGGAAGGTACTTCAAATACTTCTTGCATCATGATCTCAAAAACCAAAGATAAAGCATCTGGCAAGAAGATGATAATGAAAATGAGCAGAAATTAGTTGTAGATAACATCACCAAATTTCCAACTACAAAAGTGGAACACAGCAGAAAAACAAACAGAATTAAGAAGTAAAAAATGTGGGTCCTGGTCCTAGCTCCTATATAAATTAGGTCTTTCCCAAGCCACCAGTTTCTATTGTATGTATTGTAATGTACTAAATCAGGTGCTATTACATCAATGTGCCCAAGGATATTAAATAAATCACTTCCCCCCTTCCCTGGCTCCCAGTATCATCTATATAATAATAAAAAACTATTGGCCCTATATATTTAAAGAGATTTTTGGATAATCCTATATGATACACATATGGAAAGTGCTTTGTAAATTATAAAGCAAATTCAAGTCATGATGCCCATTAGTCAGGTGAGCCAAGGACTACATAAAGAAGCACATCATTTTCAAGTCTCCCTAACAAGCAGGGCTGCGCTATCTGCCCGACTCTCTGTTTTGGTGCCTTCTCCCAGGTGAAGCAAAAGAGGGCAAATGTTAAAGGAAATCATAAATCTCGTAATTTGCCTCTAAAATATGGATTTACCAAAAATTTACCTCCAAAATATGTAATTTACCTCCAAAATATTTCAATGACAGAGAACAGATGAGTAAAAAAGGGACATAAAGGTTCAATTTTAAAGAGTTGAAAGGAAATGAAAATGTTCATAAATTACAAGCCCGCACCTATAACATATAACATACTTGTTTGCACACAAATGTTGGTTAGAGAACAGGCCTTGAGAAGTTCCTAATTTCCCTTGTTATTCTACAACATAGCTAGAAGAAAATCAAGTTCAAATAATGTCTGTCCTCTAGTTTTCTCTTGTTAAAGAATGTTAATACCGGTTTAAAGCATAAAGCCTGCACTATAACAAGTACAATGAATGTTTTCCACTGACTATGTTATTCTACTAATTTTGTATATACTCAAAATTATAAAAGTGTCAGGATGATTTGCAGCTGTTCCTAGCCAGCTGGTTTTGCACTTACTGTTATGCATCTGAAGGAGACCATAGGTGTAAATATCTATATTTTTTATGCAAATGAGAAACTGAGACAGATAGGCAGATCAAGAAGTGATCTAGTAAAGCTAGCAAAATAAGGGCCTGGAAAGTTTTTCTTTTAAATAAACAAGCGAATAATATTTTTAAAGAACATATGGTTAAAAATCTGGTTTAAAAATAAATCTAAGTTCTGCCAAATATTCATTCAGAATCCAAAATTACACATGAAAACTAAATAAATTTACTTTATTCTTTACTTATATTCTGTATTTCAATCAGTTTAGGAAGTAAAATTATATTGGCCTGTATAATCAACTTTTCCTACAGTTATTTATATACTTTTTATATTTCCTAGCCTAATAACAGTACAAAGGATAATACTTAAACATTTTTTGCATAACTGATACTAATTTTCATGAAAACTTTTCTGACTTAAGGAATAATGCAAAGAGCAGTCACTGAGAAATAAAAAAAAGGAAAAGTACCTGCTTTGGAAGCTGAAAGACATATAATAAATTCCTGAATCTGGGATTGGTTTCTTACCTTTGTAATTTTCTTTCTTTATGAAAGAATCCAGCAATAAATTGAATGTAAAATTATCTGGAAAAATTCCATATTGAACCTGTAATAAAAATGAAAATAAAGGGAAACATTTTTATTCACTTTAATTCGGTATGTAACATGTGCCTATGTATTTTTCAGGATAAAACTTGCCATCGTTAGCCTTAAACAGTATGACTATCATTTTACAGCATCTGCGACAGTGAAATAGAAGCTGTGACTCATGAATTTGGTAAGTGGAACTGTTGGTCAGGGTGAGAAACTTGTGAGTGGGTGTTTGATATAAGACAATTTATATGTGAAAAATAAAGCTCAATTCTAACACTTCATCAGAAGACCTAAAACCAAAAAAAGAAAAAACCAAATAACTCCACCTCCCAACTAGTTCGTTCAGTGATTCTTTTTATAAGGCATGCATAACAACATAAAAATGAATTCTCAAGAGAAAGGACTCTATACAGCATTTTCTGTCTTTTAAAGAACCAGAAATATGCCAAGAAATATCTGCCATTAACTAGTCTCCTAGGATATCATGTTTACAAGCAGCTGAATATTTGATGTTTTAATTCAGATAGAAATTTTATGATTAGAATCTTAAGAATAAATGTGGACCATTAGACCTGCCTCAGAATTTTCCAGGAGCCCTTTGAACAATAGAGTCCTAAATCTCAGAGCCATAGAATCCGATCTCTGGGAATCTGACACAGAAACCTGAAGTTTCAATGAATTTCTTTCTTATGAGATTTTCATGCACACTCAATCCTGACTCCCAGTGACCTGGATTGTGGCACATTTTGTTTCGCATTCATACTTTAGAAGGACTGACCACTATGTCTGTCCCACACTGCTCTGTTCTACACTCACCAACTATCAGAAGCACCTGAGGACTTTTTTCCAGCTATACCCACTCCCTTGGAAGATTCAGATACAGTTCTGACCCCAAACGTGAGTCACTATGGAAATGACTCACTGTCACCAGCAGGCATGGGATGCCTCAGGTATTATGAATGGAAAAATGTTTAAAAGTCACTCTTCAAAAGGCTGTAGCTTGGGGCCAGAATCTATTATTTCTCAAAGCAGTCATTCAAATCAGCAGTAATCCTTGGGAGCAAGGTAAACTCAAAATATTTTAGGATGATAAATCATTAAAGCTAGAAAGGACCTCAGAAATCAACTGGTCTATGATTCTCAATAAAAATTAAAGCCAACTGGGAGCTTAAAGTAAAAATACCTATGAGGGGTGAAAAGGCATAGCACATTGCATTATTTTAGGGCAAATTATCTGGTATGCTATTATAATGGTGGATTTATGCCATTAAGCATTTCATCATAAAATGTTCATAAAATGTACAGCATCAAGAATGAACCCCAATGTAAACTACTGACTTTGGGTGATGGAATTCACCAATTCTAAATGTGTCACTCTAGGGTAGGATGTTGATTATGGGGGAGACTACGTATGTGCTTGGAGCAGAGGACCAAGGGAAAAATCTCTACTTTCTGATCAATTTTGCTGTGAATCTAAAACCCAGAATTTATTAAATAGCAAAATGAAAGAATAATAGCAATGCTTGGAATTAGTATCTTAGGATTTCAGGGGTAGAAATAAATATCTATATTTTTTTTAGAAAGCTTTTTGGGTGACTCTAATGGGGAGCCAGAGTTGGAAATCATTGATTTAGTACAGCCCACTCAAATCAGAGTTGAAAAAACTAAGATCTAAATGGGGAAAATTATTTTCCTGAAATTCTGGGCAACTGGTGGAACCAGAGTTATAGATTGGCTCTTCCAACTCTTAGACCAGTGGTCTCGCCATTAAAAGACTCTAGAAGCAGTAGAAATGATAGATTCTGTTCTATGTTTCTATACAGGCTCTTCCTGTTTTGTTATAGGAGTCTTCTTTGAGTGTAATCTGTGTCATACTCTGAAGAAAGCTGGATTTAATCTTTGTCTTCCATTGGGTCCTTCCCTTTCCTACAGGCTCTTCCTGTTTTGTTATAGGAGTCTTCTTTGAGTGTAACTGTGTCATACTCTGAAGAAAGCTGGATTTAATCTTTGTCTTCCATTGGGTCCTTCCCTTTCCTTTTTGAGATGCAAGGCCATCACTTTGACCATCCTTATCTAAGCAACTGGCTTAGTCTCTTATCCTTTCCCTTACCCAGTGACCCAGAGCCAGGCCTGCCCCTGCCCCACCCCCAGACCTCCACCCAGTCCATACCATATATGCTAGCCAAAGGGCAACATATTTTTCAAGCATACATCTTTTGGTGAACAGTTTAAATGATACCTCATGTATCTTCCAATTTTCTCCTTCCAACTGGTCTTTCTTTTGAATCCTCTTTTACTGATGTTCTTGTATGGCACTTACATTTAGTTAGTATTAGATTTATCAACAAACTTTTTTTGTTTTATTACCTTATCCATTTCCTGAGGGCAAGTAGCTATTGCTCATTCTTGAATTCATCACTATAACCAATACAATGTCTCACATACAAACCCGTGTAAAATGTACGATAAACTGAACTGGACCCAAGTCATGGGAATGAGAACCATCCTGCTTGGAGAGGACCCCAAAACAAAATCAGTGTTCCTTTTGAATTCAAACTTTCAAAGTCCACTGAGACCTACAATAATAACACCGTAAACTCTGGTTTATTTTGTACTTTCTTTTGAACCATGAAGGTAATAAAGACTTCACCCTTAGGTGGAGTAATATACAGAAACATCTTAATCATAGGGAACTCTTGGAGTTGAGGGAGAAGTCAGGGAACTCGAAAGACTCAGGATGAATTACCAAGGAACAGTGTCTTTCAAAAAACTAAGAGTGAATATTCCAGAAAGCCCATTCCAGCAAAAGTGGTCCTCTCTCCCTATCATCAGACGGGAACAGTGAAAGAAATTCAAGGCTCAAGAGTTAGGAATTAAGAATGAATTGAGCACAAGAGCAGAGTTCTTATGACTGGACAATATTTTGCTTTCACCTGTACTTTCCTGAGTCATTCTGCTCAGAAAGGCAGCAGCTCTGAGAATTTTTTTTTTTTTTTTTAATGTAGATTTTTGTTTTGTAGCCCAGGATGGCCTGGAACTCATGCTGATCCTCCCACCTCAGCTTCCTGAATGCTGGGATAACTGGTGTGTGCTACCACACCCAGCTAGCTCTGGGAATTTTCATTCTTGATTTGTTGATTCATTTACATCCAACCTCATTCTAAAAAGGATGTCCAAGGGCAAATAATTATAAAAAGTTATTTCTGGTGCCATTCTTTCCTGTACTAGAATAGGTAAAAACACCAGTGGTATCATCTAAGCTCAGGAAACATGCCAGGAAGCTATTGCTATAATTTATAACTAGAGGTCCCCTCAAGATCTCCTACTCTCAGAGATGGGCTTTTGGGAAGGCAGGTGAGTGGATTATACGGATGGTTTGTCTGACTTGCTGTTAGGAGGCGGGGTGTGACTTGGAAGCGTATGTCCCCCACCCAGCTCCTCCCCTCTTCCTCTGCTCCCTGGCTGCCAGGACGTTAGGAGCTTTGCTTTGCCCAGGCCCTTCCACCATGCTGCTCCTACCTTGACCTTGTAAGGAATGAGAGTACTGAAACGAGACCCAAAATAAACTTCTCTAAATTGTGGGTGCCAGGTATTTTGTCCCAGTGATGAGGAAAATGACTAAGACAGCCACTCACCTTATTGACAATGGTATATAAGGCTTTGTCTTGTGCACCGAATTTTAGACACTGCCTAATCCATGTGTGGATAGTCCAGTCTCTTAGGAACAAACAGTTGGGACTGTGTCGAAATCTAAACAAAGCACAAGAGAGAAAACTGGTATTACTTTTAAACATCAGTGCCAAACATCTTCCGTCAGCAGGTCCTTCTCTTGAGTATTTACTAAGAATAGTCAAAATGACCAAGTCTTGAAAGTCAACAGCTAAGTCTGAATGAAAAGAGAAGGCAAAGTAATAAAATTATAAAAATTCCATTCCTTATTTAATACTTAATGCTTCAATATGTTTTAAGGAGATTTATAAGAAATGGTTTGGAGAAAATACTAAGTGGCATTATATAAATATATATATATTAGTAGAAGGGAGATGAAAATCTAAAGCTGATATTTTAGAAGTTCTTTAAAACAGATGAGGGTAAAAATACAGAATAGCACAATAATTCTAGAGGAAAATCTGCTTTGGGTATTACTGATATGGCACTTAAGAGAGACTAGGACACTACTGAATTTAAAAAAAAAAGAAAAAGGATAAAAAAAATCAGATTGAGCAGAACTTTGTACTCATGTCCTGTAAGAGTTGCAATCCTGTTAACTTTTTTACGGCTCCCTTCTACTCCTTCATTCCATCCCCACACCTCCCATAGCTCCCCACGTGGTCCTCCAAGTTCCACACAGCCCAACATGACTGTACAGTAAAAGCATTCTCACAAAACAATTCCTGATGCTGCTCTTGCCGAACTCTATGAACACTGCAAACACTTGGGGTGGAAACTGCTTCTCCTTATTCCTCAGGGTTTGGAATGAAAGACTACATTAGAGTGAAAAGAGGGCTATGAGGAGGATGTGTGTTCGGAGAATGCTGTAGTCCTTCATTATATCTGTTTTGGTTAGGATGAATCTTTGTATGTTATGTCATGACAGCTGAAATCTACATATTTTCTTTAATAATTAAGAAGCAGGCCCGTTTCTGGGTCCCCTAAAAATCAAATTCTTGTCTTAAAAGAAAAAAAAACTTGGAGCTAAAGGATTCTGTACCATATATGAGTTTAGGACAGAGGCTAATTCCAGTGTTTTTGAGAGGCTGATTATTCAACCTGCCACCTGCTATTTCCTGCCATCTGCCATTGGGATAGTTTCCTTTGGAACAGGTGCCAAAGTAAAAGCTGAGAAAGGAAAGAAAGTGGAAAACAGTACTTCATTTAGGTTATCTATTAGTTCTCTGGTGAGAGGTTTGGGAAAAATAAGATTTGAAGGCGTTTTCTAAGTATAGAGTCATCTTAGCCCCCCACCCCCTTCATGGTACTGGAGATGGAACCCAGAGGCACACTACCACTGCGCTATATCCTTATCCCTTTTTATTTTCATACTGAAAAATCTGAGGCAGGGTCTCAGCCTGTTGCTCAGGCTAGTCTCAAACTTGTGATCCTCCTAAGTAGATGGGATTATGGGTCAGCATCACTGTGTCCAGCTCCATTTTAAAAAATATTTCAAGTTTGGTTGGAAAATCTTTTACTGTAATCTTCTGTACAGAATTAACCCCTTCAAAATCAGAAAGACAAAAGCATTGTACAGGTACACTAGACACTAAATCTAATGAGATTTCTGCATGAAATAAAAACAACTACTCACCTTAGTATTTCAACTTTTCACTCCCATTTCCAAATCAATAGGTAGCTACTTAAGCCCCTCTCCTGTGACTGCGAAAATTTGATATTTGAAGTATGATGGTCAATGAGAAGCTATTTTATTTTAAAAGAATTGTTTTTGTAGTTCTGGGGAGTCTTGTGCATTCTAGGCAAACATTGCTATTGAGCTATACCCTCAGCCAACATTTATTTTTAAAAGAGAAACATCAAGTGAAATAGCAGTGTATTAGCTCAGTGGCAGTGACGCTTCCTCATTAGCTGTAAACTACCTGGGTAAGTGGGGCAGTGACTGGGATGCTTCACCTGATTCCTCAGTGCCTGACACGATTCCTGGCCCACAGTAAAATAAACAAAAGTTTCAACCAACACACATCTTAAATACTATTGTATGCTGATCATTTTGTTAACACATATAAATTCCCTCTGTTGGGCACTTACTGCCACATTACAAATAAACACACACACATTTAACAATAATAAAGATGGGGCATGGTAAGTGCCAAGGACCAAAGGAACTGCTAGATGCTAAAGAGGTTTGGTTGTAGTGGTTTTCATGGTTAGTCCATTCTTCACTTTAAAAATAAACAAAATAAACAATGTCAACCATCTCCTTTACCCAAGATTACTTTATACTTAATTCTCACTTAAACTTAATTTCCCTTAGGGTGTCTCCAATGACCACTGAGGTTCTAACTTTTTCTGTTGATGGATTTTAACCCACATCCATGACTACAATTATACCCAGCTTTTCTCTTATTCATGGTCAACAGGCCATTTTTAGACTTTGAAGAATAACAAAGATGGACAGGGAGAACTTAGCTACAGATCTTTAAAGCTCAAATTAAAATTTATTTAAAGCCATTTGCAAACTTTCTAAGGCTAACTTCAACACATGGAAGAACAGAAAAGTCTTTTATCATACTTTGTTTCTTAGAAACCTAAAGTGAAAGTTACTTAAAACTTTACATATCTAACATAATCATCACTGAGCAGCAGCCCTCTGACAGGTTTGTCAATAGACTCACAGAGATGAGGTCTTTAATAAGTCCATTGCCTCCCCCAGGATGGATCAGGTAGTGCTACTTGGTATGATGCCTGCTCTCTAAAACTAAATGATCTATACATACAACATATATCTAGGATATTTTCAACTATCAACATTTTAACAGTTTAGAAAACACATACATTATGAAACATGCTGCCCAAAGTGGAATTCCTGCATTTCCCAGCCAGGCAGCAGTGACCTTTTTCTAAGCCTTCATCAGTGTTAGAAGAGGAATTAGTGCACAACTTATGTAAGTAGCCACACGGAACATAACCAAGTTAAAATACTGTGCAAGTAAGAGCCTAATTTTGAAGGGTGAGCACAAGAAATATCCCTCAGTCAAAGACTTCATAAGCAGTTCAGATATATAAATGTGGGCCCTCTTGAGAACTCCCAACAGTAATGTGAGAGGCAGGTAAGGCTGGGGGATGGGGACTTGCCTGTATGATTATTTGGGGCTGCTGCCCAGCAGAACACTCTACCAGGAGAAAAGCAGAGGGGGGACACAACTAATACACTGATCTCCCAATGTGCCTACAAACAGTCTGGCTTTTGTTCTTGCCTGCTCCCACCACCAGCCTGGCAGATTACTGACAGCCACTCACTGTAGGAGTCCCCTCTGTGCCATGAGCTGTTTGCTCACCTTGACAAAAGCTTTATCACTGCCTAGGCCAGCAGGCTGCCAAGACAGGCAAGCCATGTAAGTAAGGAAAAGATAAATGAACGCAACCCTAATAATCTCAACAGTGTGTTCATGAAGGTAAGAGACATTGAGGTTCCAACTTGTAAAATGTGGGTAAATTTTCTTGGAGAAAGGAGGGCCATAAAGAGGAGAGAGGGAAGAGTACATTCTCAAGGGTTATCTCTGGTTCTAAAAGTTGGTACCTAAGGCAGGAGAGATCTCTGTGCCCAGTGTGAAAGGAGGTTTGCAGGTGGAGACAGAGCCTGCCAAGTCAAGACTGCTCCAATGGTAGGAACCGAGAAGCTTCCTGTCTTCTGAAATAAGGCCATGCTCAGAGAAGTGCAGGGCATTTGCCTGCACTGCTGCTTATTCAACACTGATGTCACCAGGAAGGCAGGAAGCTGAGTCACAGACTACAAAAGGAACATGGGAGTGAAAGTCTTGAGTATGGTAGAGGTTTCTGAAAAGGGAAGGAAGATCACATAAAAGAGATCAAAAGTGAAAAGAAAAACTCCAGACTTACTGTGATAATAAAGAAGGTACTGTACAGTGCATGAATGTCATAAGAGATTGTTTACTTGCAATCAAATTCGTTTAATTAAAAAAAGCGGGATAGCTGTCCTTCAATTGGATCCAACTAAAGGTTTTGTTACTGTCAAATGGCAAAAGTGACAATGCCCTTTATCTCTTTTACTGTCACAAATGAAAGTGCTCCAGGCTAAGCAGGCCTCATGTATAAATGTCAACAACCCTACCACTGGCTCTTCCACATGAGCAAGCAAGCTTTCCGTGTTGTTTATCTGATTATGAGAGCCACCACGCTTAACCATACACATGCAGCTTTCCCTCTCCCCTAGTGAGTTCTGTATCCTGTGGCAACTGGCTTCCAGATGGGAACTGCAGCCACAGAGCCTTGTCGAGGGGGAGAAGGGAGAGTAGAGAAAGAAAGGTCACCAAAAAGACAATGCAGCTGGCTCCAAAGCCTGGAGTATGGACTGGGAATCTTATCAATGAAGCAAAGTTCGTAATTATTATAACTCATCCTTTAACCAAAGAGCAAGAGTGTTGTATAACTAAACCAGAATCTAATTCAATTGCTATCTACTTTTGTGTTCTAAAAACATAATTAAAAGGATAATTACTTTCTTTTTCATCCTGCTGGAAACTGTTTTCAGAATTGTTAGTCTCAGAACAACTATTAGTTGTCCCCACTACCACAAATAAAAAACATTAGTATTACAGATTAAACTTTTTCTTGTTTGAGATTCCCGGTTCTTTCTCTTAAAGAGAAATTTCAGTTAATTTTACCTTAATTTTTGATAAACATATTTAGATCCTGCAGTGAATAAATGTACTAAGTGCAAGGACCTTCCCCAGCCTCCACCTGAGATCACTCAGTTTGGGTTTGAGTATTTACAGTGAATTTACTATCATCCACCTCACAATGTAGATGAAAACGTCTTTCCTTAAAATTTCCAATATTCTTTTTTTTTTAATAATTAGTTTAACAGAGTTATAATATACTTTCAATGAAATTCATACCTTTCAGTTTATTATGCTATATTTTCTGGCAAATGTATCCACTTGTATAGACAGCTGCTACCACATTCAATGCACAAGAAGAGTTCTAACACCCTAAAATTTCCCACATGCCCCCTTTGTAGTCAACTCCCTAGGGTTTGCCAGACAATTTAAGCACAT